CACAGGATGCAATCGTGAGTTCATTTCAGTACCCATGGCCCTCAAAAGGTCCATCAGAAGACATCACATTCTGTGGCCATGCAGAGGCCTCTTCAAGTCATAAACAGGAATATGTCACCTAGAGTATGGTGTGTGTGTGTGTGTGTGTGTGTGTGTGTGTGTGTGTGTGTGTGTTACTTACATAGGAAGCACAAAATAAACAAAATAAATACCTGCTTTGAAAAAGTAAAGGAAGCCCTTCAGGGTATTAGATTCAACAATAACAACAACAATAACACCAAAGTGTGTTCCTAATGGCACAGGTAAAAAAAAGTCACTGAATGTAATTATTTCAAACTAAAATGACCCAAACAACAGAGTGGAGACCCAGATTGCAGCCTGGGAGAGCATCTTTTCAGACTATGCATTTGACAAGGGGTTCATTTCTAGACTATTTGAGCAAGAATTCAACTCAAGAGTCTACCAGCAGTCATAATCCAGTAAAAAATGGTCTACTGAGGCGCTGTGGAGAAGGCTTAGTCATGAGACACCTGCTGTGTTGGCCTAAGCATCGAGATGAGTGTGTGTTCAAGGCAACCATGTAAATGTCAGGAGTGCTGGTGTGTCCCTGGAGCCCAGCACAGAGGTGGGCAGTAGACACAGGGCATCCTGGAAGTCGTGGCCATCCAAGCCAGCCTCAGTGTCAGTGTGGACCCCTGTCTCAAAAAAATAAAGGAAGGAGTAGGGCATGGTGGTGCATGCTTTAATGCCAGCACTCTGGAGGCCGAGGTAGGCAGATCTCTGTGAGTTCAAGGCCAGCCTGGTTTACAAAAAGAGTTGCAGGCCAGCTGGAGCTACATAGTGAGACCATGTGCCAAAAATAAAATAAAATAAAAAGATAAAGGTGTGCATGCACACTTGCTCAGACCCACACACACATGAGCAGATGAACAGTAAAGAGTTCTAAAAGGATGTACAAATGGTCAATAAATAGATGGAGAAATGCTCTATTTCAATAATTGTCAGGAGGATTGATGCAAATCAGAATCACAGAGAGCCGTCATCATCCCCCAGTCAGAATGGATATTACCAAAAAGACAAAATATAACAACTGTAGATGTGCGTGTGGGACAGTGGAAGTCCCACACACTGTGGGTTGGAATGGAAATTAGACATTGTGGGAAACAGTAGGGACATTCCTCAGAAAAGCACAGAACTGCCACATAATTCAGCAGCTACACTCAGAGATAAAGCTTGTGTTAGTGAGCTTTTTGTCAACTTGACACCACCTGGGGGTATGCAAAGAAAGAACATCACCTGAGAAGATACCTCCATCAGGCAGGCCTGTAGACAAGTCTGGGGGACATTTTCTTGATGTGGGGAGGTCTAGTCCACTGTGGGTGGTGTCATTCCTGGGTAATGAAAGAGAGCAGGCTGAAGAAACCATGGGGAGCAAGCCAGTAAGCAGCACTCCACCAGGATCTCTGCCTCAGTTCCTGCCTCCAGATTCCTGCCCATCTTGAGCTCCAGCTCTGGATTCTCTCCATGATGGACTGTGATCTGGACATGTAAGTAAACAAGTCTTCTCCTCCCCCAGCTGTTCTTGGCCATGGTCTGTATCACAGTGATAGAAAGCAAGCCCAGAGTCCAGAGAATTAGTGAGTGTACTGCAGTGATCCTTCCCCTGTGTTTCCTGCAGCAGATTCACAACAGCCATGGCACAGGATGAGCCTCGTTGTGGATGGATGGGTAATAAAGTGTGGTACATAAATGCAGTGAAATAGGATTGTAGATGGAATGAATTCCATCATTTGCATCCAGGGATGGGATTGGAGGAAGTGAAATAAACCAGACACAGAAAGACACTACCACAGATTTCTATCTATATGTGGAAGCTAAAAAGTTATTCTCTGGGTCTAGGGGATGGGGAGATGAACAGGTCAGTGAAGTGTTTGCTGCAGAAGCAGGAGAACCTGAGTTTGGATCTTCAGAACACATAGAAAAATTCAGATGAGGTGGGGTGTGTCTGTAGCCCTAAGAGCTGGGGAGTCAGGGAAAGGAGGATCCCTGGGGATCCATCACTGGCCACCTAGACTGAGTCAGTGAGTTCCAGGTTCAGTGAGAGAGCCTGTCTCAACAAACAAGGTGGAGCGGGATAAAGGTATCCAATGGTAATCTCTGGCTTCCACATATATGTGTGCACACACATATGTTCCTAAGCACATACATACACACACTAAATATTTACACATGCATACACCTCGTAGACAGATTTTTTTTCCAAAAAGCATGAAAGTTAACATCAAAGAAGTAGTGAACAGAATAGCCATTATTGGCCTGGGCAGGGTGCCAGGGAAGAGGTGGACAGAGAGAGTGCTGAGGATGTAGGGGTCGTTTGGTGAGTTGTCAACGTCTAGTGTTGTACAACACAGCTGAGAAATATGGTTGACGATTCAGTATTTCAAATTACTTCATAGAGAAGATTTCCGATGCCTCTAGTACACAAAAATGACAAATGCCTGCGGTGGAACGTCAGCTACCTAGATTTGACTGTCAAATCCTATATACATACACACATGCAGATATGACATTGTACCTGTCAATTTCTTTTCTCTTTTTGAGACAAGTCTCCCTATGTGGACCAGATGGGCCTTGAACTCACAGAGGTCCACCTACCTCTGCCTTCTGAGTGCTGACATTAAATGCATACACTACCACACCCAGCCACTATAACTATGTTTAAATACTGTGTCAATTAAAAATCAGCATGCAACTCGAAATTGAGATGCATACTAGAAATCCCAACACTCAGGATGGAGTCCAGAGGATCACAAATTCAGGATCATCCTAGGCTGCATGAGATCCTATCTCAAAGTGCCAAATATAAAGTATAAACATATTTTTAAAATAATTCATTTATCCATTCACTCAACTGCTTTTGTGGAGCAACAGGGTTGAGAAACACACTCTGGACGATTTTTGAAAATTTGTTTTTTATTTTGGCTTTTCTGAAGCACCCATAGGATCCATCAGATGCCAAAGACTTGCCTTTTATTTAGGGAGTAAGCAGCTGGTGAATGAATTAGCCTTTCCTGTTTTCCCTAACCCAGGGCAGACTCTGTGTCCTGTGCCACCACTGACTCTGTGATGTCTTAAAGCCCCAGCTACTTACCTGGGAGGAAGAGGAGCAGAGCAGGGAACAGCCACATGGTCCTGCCTCCTCTCCTGGCCATGGTGGTGACTGATGCCAACACCCGGCAAGGACTTGCGGTTCAGCCTGAATTTCCTTTAGGTCTCTCTCATTCACTGCCTTGACAACTTCTCACTTTTGCATATTTCCTGAAAGAGGAAGTCAGTCTTTGAGAAGACCAAGCCATTGCATGTGTGGTACAGGTGATAGATGCAATGGTAGATCTGAACTTGAAAAATGGGTGGGACTTCCAAGGAGAGACACAGATAGACAGAACAGTAGAGGCAGATACAATACAGCCAATCCCGCTGCTCACCCGGGACATGAGTGAGCTTCAGCGGATCATGGGAAATGAGAGCATGCAATGAGCTTTTCTGTAGACTGCCGGCTCCTGAATAATGACACAGAAACCTTTTAAAAATTATGAAAGCTTGGCCTTAGCCTAGGCTTGTTCCAAAGTAGTTCTTTTTTTCTTTAATTTTTATGTCTTTTTATTTTATGTATGAGTGCTCTGCATATATACCTGTATGCCAGAAGAGGACATCAAATCCTATAATAGATGGTTGTGAGCCACTATGTGGTTGCTGGGAATTGAACTCAGAACCTTTAGAAGAACAGCCAATACTCATAACCTCTGCACCATCTCTCCACCCCCCTCAACTAGCTCTTAATACTTAAATTAACTTGTTTATATTAATCTAAATTCTGCCACATAGCTCATTACCTCTCCTCAGTACCCTAAGTCCAACTTCCTCCATGTCTGTCTGGGGAATATCCAACTCCTCAAAATCTTTCCCTGAGTTCCTAACTCTGCCCGGAAGTCCTGCCTATCCTCTCCTCTCTAGCTATTTGCTGTTCAGCTCTTTATTAAACCAATCAGTAAGGGAGGAGAAAGATACATCTTTATACTTTGTACAAAAAGATTATTCCAACATTTGCCCCTTTTAGAAATCCAATAAAATGCTCTTTCTCTAACATCAATAAACTATATACAATAAAAACAATTATCAGGCAAGAATTACATTCCCAATGTCCAGCCCATTTGGGATTTCCAACTGTGGAGAAATTACTCTATCATCTATTCTACTTGATGAGTCTGTTGTTTTGTACCTAAATCACTTTCTGTCATAACTTGTATTACTAGGCAAAGATGTCCTTTTAGAGATTAAAACAGTTTTAGATAAACAACTTAAGCTTGTATGTTTCTCAACCTTTATAAACTTTAAATCTCTTTCTGAGTTTCTTTTTTAAATTTGGTAGCAATGAAAACTGTAAAACCATAACTATCTAGTCTTTAATGCCATCAGAGACCTGAGAAGGATAAACTATTACCTGAGTAAACAGAAAGTACAGAGCAAGCAACTTCCAAAACTAAAAAATGACAGAGATGGCTGGCTACCTGGACAGTCACTCAAGATTCCTCTGCAATGTTGGAGCATCCATCTTCAGCCTTCAGGCCCAGAGTATCTGACCGACTTTTCCTGGAGCAGAAACTTTGAAGGACTGGCCTTCCTTGTTTTTGCAAAGTTTAACAGTCAACTTCTTTTGTCTCCTATTTGTCCGATGTGAACAGCATACTGTTGCATTCAAGGCAAGAACAGTTTCTTGCTCAATGGTCAGCTTTGCCACATTTGAAGCAAACTTCATGTGGAGATTCTTCAGTGCCTGTCATCTGCTTCAAATGAGATTGGTGCTGAGAAGACAGTGTCACTGTCATGAAAGCTTTATGTTATTAAAACATCTTAAATGTCATATTCTATAAATCTCTGAAGTGTTTAAAGACCACCTATCTATCTAAAATGTATCTCTGTTTAACTTTGAAAACGTACCTAATATGATGACAAGCTTGATTGTTATAGATGACTATTAACCTGCATTTCTTAATTATCCTAAACAGTTTAAAATAGTAGCTTTCAGGGCTAAAACACTACATTACATTTTTAAATGAGTTGCATAGGTACAATACCTTAAACAGGAGCAGAAACATCTATACAATATGTTGTAACAAAAATAAACTTAAATTCATATCAATACACAAAAATCCATGCAGTGTAAAATACTGAGACTAGTAGTTGCTTTTTAGTTTCAAAGTAGATTCAAAAATCTACCCTTTTACCCTATCATTCCTATATCCCCCATTTTTTCATCCCATATTCCCCTTTCTTTCCCCAACATTAGATAAAAGAGGAAGGAGGATAGAGGAAATAAAAAGGAAGAAATCCCTTAATTTAACTCTTTGTTTAGTTTCCTCCATGATCATGAACAATAATAATTTGTACTCAACCCCCCCTAAATGACAACAAACATCTGTAAAACACTAAATGACAAAAAACAACCTTCCATACCTCTCAGGAATGTGAGTGACATGTTCTTAAAATTGCTTCTTGTTGTCTGGGGGTGATGGCATCTTCAGGTGACCCAGAGAAAATTGGGACAATGGTCATGTCTTGGGAGAGCTAGTTGTATCATTGGTTGTCCAGTTTCTCTGTGATGGAAAAGTGCAGGGCTTAACTGAAGTCCTGGCTAGCAGTCTGTGAGGATGGATCATCTTAGCTAGCAGCTTTGAAGTTATCCTGTATGCAGATTTCTGAGGAAACAGCAACACAGGCATTCTGTGAGTCTGGATCACCCGGGCTACTTGTCTTGTCTTCATTAATGTCTGGTCCTTTTGTTCTGAAAACATACAAACTTTTAAAAGTAACATACATATCTACATTAACACAAGTATGGAATGTGTGGTATGCACAAATCATCTAAAGAGGATTCTCTGTTCTATATTTGAGCAGGTAAAAGGCATCTGTCAATTTTATAAGTCTGTTTGGACTACATAACCAAACTGTCAGGAGCACATTGTAGGCAACAAGATTTATCATGGCTCATCCAGTTTCAGAGCTGTTCCCATGTAGAGGGACCAGCATATAATGTTACCTGTCTTATAGTTTTCTTGGTTCCTTCCTCATCTGCAGCCATGATTTCAGAAGATCTCCCCTGATCAAATATGATCTTTATTAATTTTGAAGGAGTCCATAGCTTTTTCTTTCCTGTGGAAAAAAAAGTATAACCTCTCCCCCAATGTAACACATTTCCTGAATTTCATTCTGAAGTTAAGACATGCTTAAAATATATATGATGATTTAATTCAGCAGTTTTTTTACTATTCATTGTTTCTCCACAGTAGCTGTTTTTTGTTCATTAACATTTAAAATATTTGAAGTAAATAAAGCACTACATAATGTCTAAATGCCCTGTGTATGGCATTTCCCATTCTTACATGGCTTATTCTGTTTATATTACTTTACTCTCTCTTTGAAGACTTACTTTATTATTTTCTAAGTATTTAATTTTTTCCCTATGGCTCTCTACACCCATTTAATTTTCCTTCTTCAGCACAAAAGAACATTTTCAAACATCTTGTACCTGTTCAGAGATTTTCTGTCTGGCCTTGGTTTTCTGCTTGCCTGCAGCATTTCTCTGACAGCATGAGCTAAGCCTTAAAGGGCCCCTGTCATGACAGACTGGACAGGAAGGGATGATTGTATTCAACAAGCACCCACAAGTCTGCTGGGGAGACTGTGGTTTTGAAACTTCTTTTCAGCTTTCTTAGGAGGGTGACTGCAGTGACAAGGGAGCACAAGGCAGCCCAGGCTAGCCCAGTGGTGACGGGCACTGCAGAAGGCTCAGCCTGGGGCAGCACTGCTATGAACTCAGCAGCGATTTCTCTGGCCAGGGACACCTGTCACAATGGCCACCTGGGCCACAGGTATTCCCTCAGAGACAGGGAGAGTTTGGGTTTGAGACAAGGTCTCATGTAGCTCAATCTGCCTTGATCCTCCTTCCTCTGGCACCAAACTGCTGGGATTCCAGGCATTCATCACCATGCTCAGTGTTATGAGGGGCTGAGGACTGAACCCAAGGTTTCATGAATGCCAGCAAGCACTCTACCCACTGAGATGAATCCACAACCTCTTGTGTTGTTTGTATAAGACAGAGTTTTACTGTGTACCCCAAGTTGTCTTCAAACTCTCTGCAGTGTGAGTCTCCCAAGTGTTGGGAATCTGCAGTTGGTTTAAATCCAGAGGACAAGTTGTAAGTGTCCATAGATACAGGTACAGAGTAAGCCTGGTATCAAACTTTTGGGAGGAAAATTTAAGCATACACACACACACACACACACACACACACACACACACACACACACACACACATTTAATCTTCATTGCCCACTTGCCTGGCTTTGAAATCACCTAGGAGAATACCCTGTAGGTGCATCACTAGGGTGTGTACAGGGAAGTTTGAATGAGGATGTTGGCAGTTCTAAGAACTCTAGGCTGAGGTCTATATTCTGTCATACTCATAGACTGGCACTGCCCCAGTTGTCATCAGAGAGCCGTTATCCAGTAACTGGTGGAAACAGATGCAGAGACCCACAGCCAAGCATTGGTCCAAACTTGGGGAATCCTGCTGAAGAGAGGGAGGAAGGATTGTACCAGCCAGGGGGGACAAGGACATCACAAGGGAATCCCCAGAAACAACTAACCTGGGCTCATAGGAGCTCAGAGTCTGGACCAACAGCAGGGAGCCTGCATGGGACCAACCTAGGTGATTTACATATGTGTGACAGTTGTAGCTTAGTCTACTTGTGGGATTCATAGCAGTGGGATCAGGGGCTGTGCCTAGTGCTTTGGATGTCTTTTGGGAAACTCTTCCTCATACTCGGTTGCCTTGCCCAGTCTTAGTCCAAGGAGAGGAGCTTAGTCCTAACTGAACTGGATATGCCATGCTTTGTTGGGATCCATGGGAAGCCTGCCAAACAGAGGAGGAGTGGGTGGGGTGGATAGAAGTGAGGAGGGAGGAGAGAATAGGAGGAGTGGAGGGAGGGGAACTGTGGTCAGGATGTAAAATAAACAAAGTTAATTTAACAAAGGATGCTGATTGAAGGAAAGATTAAGAAGACACTGCCATCTACTGGCCTAAGCCACCTCAGAACAGACACCACAAGGGGAAAGAAGATTGAGCCTGATAGGTAGGTAATAGGAATTTTAAAGAATCTGCAGCCAGGACATTAAACTGCTACAGAAAAGGGTTGTGATCTAGGACGGTCTCATTGCTTATTAGAAGGACAGCAAGATCTGAAGGTGTGACACCACACACGCCCAGTCACAAGGCAGGCAGAAGAGCTGACTCTGCCCTGCTGACTGTTCCCTTCCTCATTCCCACACGCCCATCTGTGCACCTTAGGTCAGTCCCCATGCCTGCTGGGAGCACCATATGGCACAGGCATACACCCACAGCTCTCAAGTCTCCATCCTCTGGTCAGTGGTCACAGACTAGCATCTGAGGTTCTGCACGGACTAACAGGCATGTTCTGGTTTGCTCACAATAATTCAAGGGAAATTTGTCTGTGTAAGTTGAACTGTGGGTGCTCTGTCCTTGGTTCAGAATCCATATTTTAGTGGCCTCATCCTTTCCTGGGCTCTAGGTAATGTCACATGTCTTCCATTCAAATGAGTCTGACTGGTTTTTGACAAAAGCAAAAGCAGTGTGGAAAGATGGTGTGCTTAACACACACTGCTGAAACATTTGGATATCCACACCTCAGAAAACTAAATGCCTAGACCTGCCCCCCATTCAGAACAAGAAATCCCTATTAAATCATGATTCATGAGTTCAAAGGTTGACAAAAAGCTACAAAACTCAGGCCTTTTGGCTACTAGCCTAGCCAAAAAAGCAGTGAGCTCCACTTGAGGGAGAGACCCTGCCTCAAGGAATGAGGTGGAGAGTGATATAGCAAGGCAACTCACACCCTCCTGTGACCTCTGCACACACACACACACACACACACACACACACACACACACACACACACACACACACACGAGTTGGGGAGGAGTCAATAAATATAGTAGATAGATGCTTTAAAACTGTATAAAAGTTGCAACAAATACAAGGCTGCTATTGATTTTTATAGACAATACCAAACATAACCTTTAAAAGAAAATTTGAAGAATTGTGTGTCATCAAATCTTTAAATGTGTAGTCTAGGGGGATGGGTAAAGTGCTTGTCATGTAATCATGAGGACCTGAGTTCAGGTCCCCAGCACCTTCCTAAAACCTGGGAACAGTGGCACACATCGGTAACTTCAGCACTGAAGGTGGGGGAAGCAGAGCCAGGGGACTTAGAAAACGGACTTTCAGCAACATTTCTTTCGTTTTTAAAGTTTTACTTTCTTTTTTTACATGTGTGAGTGTTCTGCCCACCCATATGTATGTGTAAGTGCAGTGCCCACAGAGGCCAGAAGAGGGCGATGGATTCCTTGAGCCAAGTTCTGAGATAACAAGTGTGGGTACTAAGAGCTGAACTTAGCTCCTCTGCAAGAGCAGCCACTTCTCCTAACCATTGAGCCATCTCTCTAGCTCAGATGGGGTTTTCTTTTTAGGAAATGATTGGCTAGTCTGAAGGTGTGCATAGAAGAGGACCCGACCATTGTATACAGACCTCCTGACATCCACAAGAGTAACATGACATCAAGACTTGAGACTAAAGCTCTAGCAATGAAACAGCAGTGGACCTGTTCAGAGCTGAGAAATTAGACAAACCACACAAACCAGAGAAGCCA